TTGCTTATTTTCGGGTATTAAGTTAATTTGGGGGTTGCTTATTTTCGGGGATTGCTTATTTTCGGAGGAATACGGTAGTTTTTTTTTGAATATTCTTTTCATTAGTAATGCTAAAATGAAATCTAATTATTTAAAATAGCATGCAAATATTTAATGATTCAGTAACATTTACATCAAATGAAAGACTAACTACTTAGTAATACTGAAATATCATGAAAGTTTAATGTACCAATTTCTTGTTATTAATATTTAAATATCTTCTTTTTAAATTACTAAGCAAAGCTTCTCGCATTATGTGATAAAATCGAGATGTCCGATTTATCCCATGGATAGATACAGGAGAAAAATACTGGCTAATTAGATAGATTTACTTATAAAATTTCCTTTTTTTTTTTTTACATTTTACATAAGCATGTTGAAGATCGGTATTCATTGGGCGGATTTGATGCGCAGACCGTGCCCGCAAACTCCGATTAAAGATTGAGTAGCACAATCCAAAGAAATTTGTTCGGACCTTTCTTTTCCGTGAACCGTAACATAAAATACACCTATATTTGTGTTTTAATGAAAGTTGTTGAATTTATAATTTAACATCTATTTATGATAATGGAACTACGGTAATAAGTTATGATACTTGGTTTCACTATTTTAAAATTTATAATGATTTTTTAGGTGAGTCATGAAAGTTCTGCGTCTTCTTTCCGAATCAGATGAAAGAAAAGGTCTGTTTCACGATTAACTTTCCAATGTGCTTTAAGAATATACGGAATTATGAAACCGGACCCAAAAACTATATAAAAATGTGATTTTTCTTGATGAATTCCCTTCATTCCATCTTTTAAATTTTTATATAAAAACTATTAACCCGAATTAAGTAGACCATTTAAAAGATAACCTTGACAAAAATCAAATTCAGCAGATTGAATTGCTTTTTAAATTTTTTTAAAAAAATAAAACGCTATTGATAAAATGATTCAACCGATACCTTTAGATTCGGTTCCATCAACACCAGACACACCCAAAACGCCATCAAGACAAGCAACCGTTAACAGTTATGAAAGTAATAACTCAAACAAAAAGATAAGAGTCAGAGAACAAAATCGAAATTTAAGTATCAGAAGTCGAAAGAGTGCAAAAAGTTATCAAAGTCATAGGAGGGAAAATCGTTTGCCATGGGTATTGGCGCCATTGGCAAGAAGGGTATTGCAAAAAACACAGAGTTTAGTATCGATAAAAATGCCACCATCAAACCCACTTTCTGAAGAGGAAATCGATAAAAAGTTAGGAGAAATTTATGATATAGCGAGAACTGACACGTCAAGACCGAAAACTCTTCAACCATTTTGGGATCAGTATTGTGATTGGTTAAAATTTGGGAAAGATCATGAGGATTCACAATCCCAAATTGAATATTGGACGGCGAAAGATGAATTTCTTGATCTCAATAAATTGTTAAAAGAATCAAAACGCGCACCAATTTCCAGAACGAAATTTCAATCTCATATGAAATTACCAGATCGCGTTAGATATCTAAGTACTTTATCAAATAATCTTTTAAATACCAAACTAGGAATTTTAACATATTTTCAAGTCATCTTTTTGTTATTACAATATACATTGAATATCGTATTTATATCTCAACAATTAAATGATGTGATTAATTTTAACGCTGATTCGTTACAAGAATCTGTCAGTAAAGGTATCAAATTACCCAAGACAAGAGAGGAGTACATCAAATCATCAATTGGGATTGGATATCTTCTTGAATTTTCATTTTTAGCCACTTTAATATTCACAACGATACTTCAATTAATTACATTCATCACAACGACTTCTATCATGAATAAGGGAATCGTATTTTTAAATTTTATCGTGAATATACAAAAAACTGCAGAATTTTCATTATTTAAATTCATTCATTTATTAAATCCATCATCTTATATAATGAAATTTCATGAACCTCCTTTATTAGATTTTATATCAAATGCGGTTAAATTTACATTACGTAAACCAACATATGAACCAAAAGTTGTGTTAATTTATAAATTATTTTACACCTTCATAGTCAAACCAATATTTTCATTATTAGGTTTAATGGCCCTTTACATCAAATTACTTCAAGTTTCCACTTCTTTAGAATGGTTAAATAGATTAAATTATGATACTTCAGTATTCGTTGAAAGTTGGAATAATTATATCTATATTTTAAATTTTTTGGGTTTGGCCAATAACATTGCTGGTCTATATGGTCTACAACCTCATGAAGAAAGGCAAGCTTTCTTTGTCAATCATAAAATTTTTGAATTCGATTTTGTTTATTCTTTACTTGAACATTTTCAGGAAAATCAATTTTGTAAGGGTTATTGGAACCTTACTTTGTATGCTGTTGGCATCGATTATAAAGATTTAATTGAAATATTTTGGGAAGAGGTTTATGGTACTGATACTGTTGAATCTGTTGAAATGATTTTCGTAACTGATCCAGTTGAAATCATCTCAACGGAATCATGATATATTTATGTAAATAATTTTGGTATTTTTTTATTTATTAGAAATTGTATTTTTAGAATTATAATAAAAATAAATAGTAATAAACTATGTTTGGGGTTTTATTATGACTGATTGTGATGCTTAATTAAAAACCAATTTTAACCGCATACGGGAGACTGTACAAATCATTCGACTCTTCCATACTTTTAATGCAGCTTTAACATGTTGACTTTAAATCCGCATAAAAGAATACTGCATTCCTTGCAACTCTAGTTGATAAATATAAATAGACAAATAAGAATAAAATTTTGTAAATTTGAATTTACTACTAATATATTACATATATATAAATTTTTTTTTTTAAAAAAAGAAAAAAGTAGGTTAAACTTTTTCAAAAAATTCCATAATATCTTTGTTAAGTTCTTTGGTGTTTTCCCATAAAGGACAATGACCAACATCTTTATAACTAGCAGTTGTACTATGAGAAGCAAAATAAAGACTATGTTCTAAATCAATAAATATGTCTTTTTCTCCAAAGATATGCAAAGTAGGTATCGTCAAGGTACTGAAAAATTGAGATAAATCAAATCGGTCTATAAAAATCGAAAGTAAAGTAATAGATCAATTTTTGTATTTTTTTTTTTTTTAGGGGAAAAATAATATATATGATACGTACTAGCAAGTGAATTTATTGATCACTTAATCTTTTGAAACTAATAAATAACTCACTAATTCCAAAAACAACTTTTTCAAAATTTCCTTGAGGATCAAGTAAACTTTCAGTGGCAAGAACTAAATGATCGCTAGGTGATTTAAACTATGAACCGCACCACTGATTAACACGAGACCATCAATTCTTAGATTCGGATAATTTTTCATAAAAGTTAAAGATACCCAACTAATTTGATTTTCTTTTTGAACCATTTTCATTTATTGGTGACCACAGCAAAAAGGTCATAAGCATTTAAATCGAGTGAGTAATTTGGTTTATCAATATACCCATCCCACGATAATCATATCTTACATCCATTGAGATCCCAACTTGTCCTCGAAGTAAAATCCACTTGAAAGTATAATGGTGGTTTTGGTTGGATCTCCTTTTTCTTCTACAAAAATATTTGTGTATAATGGAACTTGTGCCATAGTTATTACGATGGTAGCGAGGAAAACAAATACAATCGTTACAAATAATATAAAATGCTTAAGAGAAATATAAATAAATATATATATATTTTTTTCTTTTTGGTTGGCTTTAAATTTATTTACTGTATATACAGTTAAGTGAGGCGTAATTAAAAATGATAATGAAATTTTTTAATTTAAGCCATTTTATATTTAAAATAGTTCGTGATGCAACTTAATTTTCTATTCTTATCTTAATAAGGGCTTTCATTTTCCATAAATAGTGAAGCCATTTTAATTTTTTTTAATTTTACGTCTTTATGCTAGGAAAATTAGTTAGTATACATACAAAAAACATTGATGTCTGTACTACATGATAAATTCGCCAATTAAGGCGGAAATTTAATTTTTTGCAGTCCTAACATGTTACATTTATCTTTCGAACTTTCGATGTGAACCCGAAATATTTATTGGACATGCTGCGCCAAGATTCGTTTATACCGCAACGCCACAATGTGACCGCGTTATTTTAGAAACATCTAACAATATTGTGATGAATTACCAGGGTTAGTTATAGAATTAGTAGTTAATCTAAGAACTAAATATTATGCTATTGCGTAAAGAAATCGGACTAAAACTTTTAATTACGGAAATTAACTTTGGGGGGTTTTTTTTTTCATTTTTTTCATCGCAAAATGTGACAATACATTGCTTCGCCCGAAATTTGTTCATGTTTAATCATCTCATTATCTGATACTACGTCACACAAGATAGAATATACTATGGTCATTTAATGGGACCATTACAAAACCATTTTGAAACCTATTTCCATAAATGAGTGGTACTTTTTTGTCAATAAAACTATCGTTGATCGCAGCATTCTTTGTAACACAAAGTGTCACCAATTTTGACATTCTATCATTTATTTATTGTTAAGTGTTACACATCAAAGCTCAAGTCAATTAAAAAGGTTCACAAAACGGATTATTCATTGAACGCCCTTAAAACACGGGAATTCCAATAAATTTTGGGGAATTCTCGTTAAATTATGAAACGTCAAAATCCATGGTAATTCTGGCACAAAGCCACGAGAAGAAATAATTTCCTGACAAGTTATTAAAATTTTCTGACATAAAGAGACCACATGATACAATAATTAAGGACAATACAAATACGTTAAATTTGTTTCAAAGATGCAGCTAATCATTTATGATAAACCATTTACAGTAAGGTATATCTTTTAATTATGTTTGATTATTGGACAAATCTTTGTAAAACAATAATGTTATATGCAAATCGAACTCGATAAAAAGAAGTGTAACAAAAAAAAAAAGAATCATATTTTTCATGTAAGTTTTATCAAATACTGTATGTTTATCTTTTTTGATATCTATTTATAATTTGTATCCAATGCTTAAGATATTAAGTCGATTTAACGAAAAAAAAATAATAAAAATTCATCTTAAAAAATCGTTTCAAACGTGAATCTTCGTTTCATTGAATCGATTTATGTAAATCTTTTGAATTAAATGAATGAACCGAATCAGTAAATTTTAAAAAATATTTAATCAATTTGATTTTTTTTTGGGGTTAGTTTCTTTGTATTCTACGCACACATAATAAATAATAGTTCTCGAAATGTTTCATCTTTCGTGTAACTAAAAATCGACTTCTTAATTCACATGATTGCTTGGTTCCAAAGGGAAGTCAAATAATTCATAAGATTCAAAAGATTAAAAATCTAATTTGTTCCCCACAAAAAAAAAGATCGGTTAATCACGTGTTAAAAATTAATTTAATGTAATATAAATAATAAAATAAATATAAATGAATTTAACTTTAAACCTATAATAAAAAATCATTTATATTTAGTGGCACATTCATATTGAAAAGTGAAAACGTGGAAAAAAATTTCAACTTTTTAATCGCCATTTTTTTTTTTTTTTTCGTCCTTTACTAACTAACAAACAAACACCCTCTTTACCTTTGTCTTTGTTCCTTCTATAACCTTGTTGTCGAGTGACGTCGAATATATACACATAACTATATATTTTTTGTTGTATTTGTGACTATTACTATAGAACAAAGACACCTCTGACAAATATCTTATTTTTCCCTCAAAAAGTAAGTTTATTATATTTCATAATTGATAATATCATTTTTTAATTAGCCACAGAATTTCACCTTTATATTTAAATAAATGGTGTAAATCTAAAAGTTTTCTTCTCAAGAGAGAAACGAGTACGTTATATTTTAATTTAACTCGCAAAATATAACTCCTTGTTAAACCTCTATACACAGTTTTTGAGTTATATGTTTCATAATTAATGGAACAGACTACGCATAGAAATCGAAACCCAAAAGTAAATCCAAAACCCAAAGTTCCACCGCCTACGAGACCAAAACCATCAAAGTTATCAACAACATTTAATAAAGTTGATAACGACCCAAATTCATCCTCAGTCCTTTCAAAGCGTACAAATACAACACCAATTCGTGGAACGAACGTTCATAGGTTATCAAATTTATTTGAGGATTCAAAAGATGGTTCAAACGCAAAGTCTCGCGTGGTTCCATCTTGCCCCCGATCGCCAAATCCAAATGTGACCATTAAAAAATCAAAATCATTTTCAAATGAACATCAGATGACAAATGACTCGATCGAAATTGATGAGAGCTCGTTAGTGTTTGATGATATTAAAGCAAAATTTCAACAAGTTCAAGATAGGGCTGTGAGTGATATAATCGTATTAAAAATTTTTAGTACTGAAACCAAAAGTTGGATTTATGTAATTAATTGAGTTTCTTTCATCATATCTAGATACCGAATCCTACCAAAAGGCCAACTGCGCTCACTACCAACCATACAATTTCGAAAAGTCCGGAAAGAGGGTTACAATCAACGACTACAACTAATATTAATACAAATAATACAAACAATGGTAGCAAAACACGTGCACATACGAATATTAATAATGGTAAAAATAATAATACACCTCCATTGAAAAAATTACCTGGAAAATCGCGATCTCTTAATCACACATCAATATCTCAACAATCAGACCATATCTCTATAAATGACGACGACTTTGTAAATTTCAGTAGGGAATGGATAGATGTAGCCGAGGATAATTATTTACCAGAGATTGAGACTAAATCTGTAAAATTACCACTAACTAAAACTTTGTCAATTTCACGTTTGACAAACAATAAGCCTTACAATGATGTACCATCTTCAACAAAAAAATCAATTTCTTCTGTATCGCCGGAAGATTTCAAGGCAAAAAGAGAGAGCATAGCTAGTCTTCTGGTTATATCACCAACGATACAGCGGAATCTCGAGGCTGAGCATAACTTTGAGACTTCAAAAGCATTACCACCTATACCTTCTCCTAAAACTCCAACTGATTTAGTTTGCCCTTCCACAACTTTGGCAGTAGAGTTTTATAAAAGACCTAAAAGTGAAATATCACCTCCAAGTGCTTCAAGTGGGGCTACAGTTAAAGAAGAACGACATGCTAACGATATTAAGAGAAGGAAGAAATTATGGAATGTCACAAAAGAACTTGTTGAAACAGAAATGAACTTTTTCCATGATATGGTACTCTTGGAAGAGGTAAGAACGATTTATAAATTGTTATGATAAAAATGCATGGACTAATCATAATTATTTTAACTTTTAGGTTTATTCAATTCCAGCACAAGAAATTCCTATTTTCAACCCTTATGATTGTAAAGCAATATTTAGTAATTTACCTGAAGTAATTGATTTTTCAGCAGAATTCTCTGAATTATTGGAAAGGGCAGCTGGTATGGAAGATTCAGATGATAATGTTGACAATTTAGAGAATGAAAATTATAGCACATTTATAGGAGCAGCATTTTTACAGACGGTATGAGATTGACTTTCGAAGAAAGGTAGATAATTTGATATTGTATTATCCTTATTTGATATTTATTATAATTTTAATTGTAAACAGATGACAATGCAAGATGGTTATGAAAGTAGAATGGAATCAGTATATGGTGAATACTGTAAAAGGCATGAAGCCGCTGTTCAAAAGCTTCAAGAATTTGACAATGATGATAATGTTCAAGGATGGTTACAGGTTCCTATTTATTATTATTTTTTTTTTTTTAAAAAAAAAAAAAATTTTTCTTTAAATTCATTATTATTATTTTTTTTTTCTTATTCTTATTTTAAAAAAGAAATGTAAAAATCTATGCGAAGGTCGAACACGAAGTTGGGATATAGCGAGTCTTTTAATTAAACCCGTGCAGCGTGTATTAAAATATCCCCTGTTATTGCAGGTAATTTGAATTCTTAATCTATATATCATATCATTTTATTTTAAGATTGATCTCCTAATTATATTCATTTATTATTTTTAGCAAATTTTATCACTCACAAGTCCTTTACATCCAGATTATGACGACCTAAAGCTTGCCTTCGAAGAAATACAAAAGGTTGCTGAAAATATAAATGAGATCAAAAGACGGAAAGATATTGTTGAAAAAATAGTTGGTAGTAAGAAAAAAACGGATGCTGATGTAAGTTTTTAAATAGGTTTCTTTGAATTATATTCTTTAAAAAATTTATTTATACTAATATAAATTATTTTGTTATAAATATAATAATAGCTTGTGTTAGTAATTTTTCCAAACATTATTTCCTTTTTTTTTTTTTGATTTTGTTTCAAATAATAGTTAACAATAAACTAATATATGTATATTTTTAATAGTCATGGTATAACAAAGTCAATAACAAGGAGGGGTCAAATGGTATGCTAAATTTAAGGATCGATAATAAAAACAATTTTCGTACGATTTATTATAATATTTACAAATTCTTTATTTGATAGATTAAATACGCTACTGGTTTATCCAAAGCTCGTGAAGATGAATTATACAAAGTATATGTAATAAAGTTCAAGAATTTAGAACAACAAGGAGTGCAATTGATAAAAGATGTAAAGGATTGGGTGAGAGACGTTAATGGTAAGGATAATTATTTATCTTGCAATTAATTCTTATACTCGAATTTTCTGTAATGATATTAAAAGTAATTTTTCATTTTTAGTATTCTTTGAAGATCAACAACGTATTGCTGCCGCTTTTGAAGATTTAAACACACTTGGAATTCAATTTTTCAAGTCTAAAGAGGAAAATAGAAAAGTAGTGGAATATGCAAAAGCTATTAAGGAACTTACATCAACACATGGAATAGAAATGGTATATTATCAAAATAAGTTTATTTGATTTATAAGAACTATATCAACCCCCTTTTTTTTAAAAAAAAATTAATTTAGGAGGAAGAAGTCAGAAGAAATATAATACCGCAGATCGAGAGGTTTTTGGAGTTATTTAAAGCACCTGCTGCGGTTATGAAAAAAAGAGAAAAAAAAATTTTGGATTATGATAGAGCAGAGACAATAAAATCTAAAGGTGGAACAGTAAGTTAAATTTTATATATCTCTTCATTAAATTTTTAAATAAAGATTATAATTATTTATTAATATTTTTATTATTAAATTTTTTTTTTGAATAGCTTGATAAGCATCTCCAGCAATCCGCAGATGCCTTTAAATCAATTTCAGATCAATTACATGAAGAGTTACCTGACTTTTTTGTACTAATGACACAATATTTTGACATAATTGTGCAAGAATTAATTAAAATACAATCAAAACTTTATGAACGGATGGGAATGGATTTTAGACAATTTTATTATAAATTTGTAGATTCTCAAGCATTAGATCATGTTTCACGTGATAGAGAATTGGTGTTGAGAGAAATGGATGTAGTTACGGAGTACAAAGAACATTATGAAAGAATAAAAATGGAAGCAAAATTAGAACGTCTTAATATATTAAAAAATCCTGAAGGTAACTCAATAATTTAAAAAAACAGATAATTTCAACAATAATGAAATGTAATTAACATTGATTATATCATATTTATAATTAGGGTTTGGAACAGATTTTAATGAGCTCGGTAGAGGAAAAAGGTCTAGTTGGTCAGGTTCATATGGATCTTCAAGGAAAGCCGATGATTTAAAGTATTATTTAGGTAAATTATTTTAATATATATAATACAATATAGTTAATTAATTTCATAAATTAATATAATATTTTCGTTTCATTATTTTCAGTGCCAAAAGATCACAACAGAAAAGGTGGATTATGGGAAGATGATTTAGGTATGTACATATATGCATATTTAGTTTTTAATCAAATTGTTTAAGCTATTACATATTTAAACAGTTTGCATTTGTTTCCCAATAGAACATTCAAAATTATTGTATCAAAATTTATTATTAAATAAGGATTATTTGGGAATAAAATCTGATCAAAATCCATTTGTCAATAATTTTAATATTTTTCATGACAAACCAGAAAATAAATATACACACGGAAAATATTTAACAGATAGTATAATTGATAGTAGTAGTAATAGATCATTAAATAATTCAACTCTTGTTGATGACGATGAAATTACATTGACGGGGAATGAGGAGACTGAGCAAGAAGAAGTGGATAAAGCAATATTTTTTTGTACAGCAATTACTACAAAACGTTCAAAACAAAAGAATTTGTTAACTTTTGAAAAAGATAGTTTATTAAAAATTATACACCTTGATGAGGGTGGTGAATGGTGGTTTGCTGTTAATGAAGAGACTCAAGGAAGAGGTTGGGTTGATCCCAAATATCTTAAAAGAATTGACTAAGTATCTAAAATACATTGAACATTTATTTTTTTAACATAAAAATTAATTTTAGTGGGAGTGGGTAGAAAGAAAGCATTAGGTTGTCGATATTTGTAGGAGATATATATATATATAAATTATCCTCCAAAATATATATATATTTTTTTTATAAATTCCAAAATTTAATAAATGTAAAGTATAACATAGTAACCTTTCTAATTCCAACAAATTATCGGAGGATTTTTTTTTTTTTACATTTAATTGGATTAAATATATTGATGGTGTATAATAATAAATTGAGAAACCAATACATTAGTGAATGAAGTACATGAATTAGAACTAGAAGGATATTTCTTGCAGAACACCAAGCTCTCGTAGTTGGATATTCAGCTATCCATTAAGTATATAATGGATTAGTTAGTAATGCGAAGACTTTTCTTGCATTATTCTATCATGTTAGACATTATGTCTCCTAAAAGCAAAAGCATTCTTCAACATTATCAGACGGAATTATGAGAAATCCATTCAATTTTGAAGAAACTTGAATATTCTTTTGACGAAAAAATTAAACATTCATAACAATTGAACTTTTTCCCAAGAATAGCGTGATTAGAGGTCTGCTCTGGGTTGGTTAATTTTGGGTAAAAATTTATTGGTCAGCGCAAAAACTTTTCGCGGAATAGCATATGATTCAGTAATCTCCAAATACATCAAATTGATTACTAATCCAAGTAAATAGTAAAATAAAAAAGCCAATTTTAATGAAAGAAAAATCAATAAGGAAATTATTTTCTAAAAAGAAATTAGGTCATTATCAATTTTTTATGAGAAAAAAGTTTGTCTACTAAAGTAAAAAAAAAAAATATGGGCTTGTATAAAAGACTTTTAAATCTCGTTATTATACATAATAATTTGACATTTTCTATAAATATATAATAAATAAATAAATATATATATATATATATAAATATATAGATATTTTGAAATAATTATTTAACTTATAAATATTAATCTCTTATTTATTATAACTAATAAACTATTCAAAAAAAAAAAATAAAATAAAAAAAATAATAATAATTATAAAAATTTTTATATTATATATTCTTTTATATTAATATTATATATAGAATATAATATTTAAAATTTATATGATAATGTATATATGTTGTAAAGTCAAGAAATTACAAAATGTTAAATCACTTAACCTTATCAACAAAAAGAAAAACTTTTAAATAAATTACAAAATTTAGAGATTAGAAAATAACTATTCAAAAAGAGGGTTATAATGGATAAACAATTATCTAAAATCATATATTATGAAATAAAATCACATAATACAGGATAGAAATTAATCACATAATAAGGAATACAAACTAATCATAGAATATGTATAGATTATTAATAATAAAAAAATAAAATACTAAAGTTTTGTGAAAGAAAAGCTAATAATAAATCTTTAGAATAAAAGAAGAAAAAAGATAACTTATAAATATATATAAAAGTTACATAAAAACTCAAATGAAAAAAACTAAAAAAATGAAATCAAAGAATATTATATAACATATATATTATCAAAAAAAAAAAAAATTAATGAAAATAACAAAGAAGATATATAAGAAAAAAGAATTATTATATAAATCATAAAGAATATGAAAAAATGAAGAAATAATTATTAGAATTAAAAAAGAAGAAGAAATATTTAAAAATAGAAATAATATAATAATAATACAGTAGCGATCATAAGTATCAGACTGCCTAAAATCGTCCAAAATTATTATATAACTATCCCTTAAATTTTCCAGAAATATAATGTAACACAATACATGATCACCTGTAAATTTATAAGTGTCAATGATACAAAAA